GTTGAAAATGATTGCACAAAATCTCACCATGCTGCTCTCTGTACAAAAATATTTGAATTGTAAGTTTATTAGCAAACGACTTTGAAAAAAAAAATGCTTTCCCTTTGCATCAAAGATGAAACTCATGGTGGAGGTGTGGCAACAGTTCGTAGTGTAAAAAAAAAAAGTATGTTACTTCATTACCCACACCCAGGTCTGATTAGCTTTAGGACTGTGAAACTCGGACATCATCCAAACAGCATACTTAAAAATTAAGAAGTGGAGAAATTCGAGATCTATATTTAAGGTTTATGACACCAGTGAATTACTGTAAGAACCAAATATGAAAAATACCTGCAGAGAACCTTCCTATGAGTGCCTCCAAACATTACTTCATAACTCAATCGAGGCCATGAGGTCACAAAAGACATCCAGAAAAAAAATATCTAAATCACATCACAGCTTTATTTCCCCTTAATATCGAAAATCATTATTTAAAATTTGAATTTTAGATTAACGTAAATTGGCTTTATTTCTTACTAAAATTGGTTCCACATATTTAAACCTTTAAATGTGACAAAGAAGCAACAAACAATATGTTTTTTTAAAGGGGGTTGAAACTTTTTTTTACAGCACTGTAATATTTTAAATAATACTACAGATTGTAAGAAAAGTTTTCATCATAACTGTGGAGAATCATCATGATTTGGGCTTTATCTTAGATTTATCTAACCTCCGAAATGCTGATCTTACAGACAGCATAAGTACAGCCTTGTGTTTGTGTTGTATGCCACCTTTAGTTCAGTGAAATAGTAGAGTAAAATTACTCCTCTTAACAAACCTTCCTTTAAAGCCTCATCTGATTTGTTTTAGCCTACAGGTTTACAGACCAGTAGGTTTTGAGTTGCAGGTTATCGTTTGGTCTCTCGTCGGCCTCAAGATCCCAATCTGTGCATCCCTCATCCATCTAATCCCTGTTGACGTCAATCTGTCCTCCTCTTACCTCTCTCGTCTTATTTTCTCTTTCGGTTCATACACAAGACTTTTTTGTTTCCTGAGAGGTTCTATTTTCACATAAATTTCTTCCCACTCTGCAGTAGAATAATATTAAGGGACACTAAACGACTTAATACTGACAGCAAACTGTGAAAGCACTATCATTTCACGATGCCCTTGGGGTAACAGAAATTAATTGGCTAATATTTGATGCACTGTCTGCCTTAAGTATCTCGGTTAAGAACCATAGCAAACTGGTCTCATTTACTCCCATAAATAAGTGAATTCTTTTTTTAGTGCTGAAGGATCAGAGCAGACTGGGTGAAAGTGAGTATTATTTTATTTCTCGCAGCATGTCACTTTAAGTTGCAGGACCGTGGGGAAATGTAGTAGACTTTCAGTATACGTGTGGAACTGATGAGTATACTAAGTACACTACGTTTATCCAGGGTACACCTGCTGGACGACACACATGGCAGAAAGTCAACAGGGAAATAATTAAATTGGATACAAATGTAAATATTTTTATTGATGGTTTAAAAGGTCTAAGATTGTTGTGTAAACTGTTAAACTGGTTCTGATCTTACTTGGCAAACCTGAGCTATTTTGCATCATTTGGTAATTATAAATCTGAAGTTATTTACGGAGTTCCTCAAGGCTCTATTATTGGGACAATTTAATTGAACACCTACATGATCCAGATCACGGAGCAATGGCTGATCCATTAAAAATACATGACAACAAAATAGTTGGAGCTCATTGTTGTTTTTCTTATAATTATTTTTATTATTATTATTACCTGGGGTGCTAAATTTTTCAGGTGTGGCAGAAGCACCAGGGCATAGGTTTTTTTAGGTTAGAAGAGGCTGCAGGGATTCATGACTGTAAGTTTACCAACAATGGTAAATTGAAACACATCTCCTGATATGCAAATTGATTATTTCTTTTTGGCCTGTGAAAGTACAATTCCTGGTGGTTTTGCAGAAGGCCAAAACAGCAAAAATATAACATTACACTTTTGTGTCACTTGATTGACTGCAGTAACAAGGTGCCACCAGCTAAATTACCTCCAGCTTACTGCATGAAATACTGAAAATTATATTATTACACCCCAGATTTATAGTGTGGTGTGTAGAACATTTCTTTTTTGGTTACATTGTTGATTTCTTCTGATGCTCTTATCTTTGCATGTTATATTGCTTAATTTAAAACAATCTATTAATTCATTCATGAGTGTCTCAGTCAGAGACTACGGGATACATTTAGAGGACCACTCTTCCTAGTCCTCTCCTGACTATCTGCAGTTGACTAGTTATAAGCAGGTCACCACAGACTACTTCAGGTCTGCTTTAAATGATTATGCTTTGAATGCATTTATAATCCTTGTAAAAGAAATAAAAGGGGAAAAAAGGAAGAAAATGTCTTTATAGCAGTTATTTTTTTCAATTAGCATATAGTCTTGTTGAACTTAAGAGTGCAAAATAAAATCATTTAAAAAATGCTTGTGGAAACGGAATATTGAGGCCTGGCTGTGTCTGGAGTTCCGTTTCCACTCATTTATATCCGAAATGTCTCATGTTAATGTCACGGCTCAGAACAGGGGACCCAGTATTCAAGGCAAGACAGACAGTGGGATTACTCAAAAAGCATTTATAACAGCTGCTTGGGTGTCTAAGGCAGGAACCTCTGCAGAAAGGAAACAAAGGTTAGTGACCACGTAAATCTGGCGGAGGATTATTATGAACGCGTGAGTCACTAACCTGGTTTAAATACTTCAGTCCATGCCCAGAGAACAATGTTGATTCCAGCCAGTCAGCTGAGAAGATGCAGTGTGTGCCGCACAGAGATTTCCAGATGCTGAAGCCTGGAAGACTACAGAACTGGCAGGAGATCAGATCCAAGCAGATGAAGGAAGGCAGGATAATCAAAAGGACAAAGTCAAACCCGATGTCACGGATGTGCTCAGGATTCAGAACCCGATCAGAGGTCCGAAGCGTTTCCGAAGGGACATCCAGGTCGGTGACAGGAATCAGTTCCAGGTTAGGTTAACAGGCAGAAACCAGCCGCAGACGAAGACAAGTCAGGCAAACAGAGCAGAACAGGAACAGGCAGGCTCAGAGGCCCGAAGGCAGAACTGGTCAGGATAAGGGAATAGGAACACACTCAGGTAAGCTAGAGAACTTTCACCAAGGGGAGTGTTGGCCTTGTGGTTAAAGTAGTGCGCTTGTGCTCTGAGATGGTTGAAAGTACCCGGTTCGATCACCGCAGCCTCCACTCTGGGTTCATGAGCAAAACCCTTAACCCAACAGTGCTATCTGGGCACCACACAAAGGGATGGGTTAAATGCAGGGAGTGAATTTCATTGCTCTCTACTTGTGACAGAGTAATGACAATAAAAGCTTTGGGAAATAAAGAATAATCTGGAGGTAGAGGCAAGAGCAGGTGAAAAATTAACCCAGTCATCAGCACCAAGATCATGACAGTTGAGGATCAGTAGATTTATGATGAGATCCTCTTTAGACGTATTGCTTATTAAAATTAGACTTGGCCAATTTATTTATTTTTTAATAAACACATTCATCTCCGTTATATTAAGGGTAATTAATTTGAATACACTCAAACACCATCTAAATCTCAGTTTAATGGTTCCACATGGGCATGTTAGATCAAAATGAGTTTATACTGAATTTATTTGAGAATATTTCAAATCTTCAGTGCTGCAGTTTACATATAGAGTTCCAATTTCCATTGGTTCAAGCAACATAAAACTGCAATTATTTTTTTTTTCTTAATGAAAACCTGGTTATTTAATCACCACTTTAGAATTTATTTAGTAGAGTATAGAAAAACAGAATAAAAAATAATATTTTCTAAGATTGTTAAAATTAAATTTGTAAATATGTACCTACCAAGTCTGATTATATAAGAGTATAATATGTTAATCTTTAGTCAGCAGGAGATCTAAACAAAAAAATGTAATTAACAATGAAAAAATCAAGCAATTTAGTTTCATTAAAACATTAAATGAATTGCTTTTCCAAAGCTGCATCAGTCATTTATAATCAGCTGGCGTACCCCCTGCCTCTGCACCTGCAGCTGTTAAACACTGAGGGTTTTGTGAGACTTTGGGCTCTGGCAATGCGATAAGAAAGCCCCCAGGGTTTATTGGGGTTAGGCCAGTTTGAAGCATGGTGGGTGCCTGGCTAGTGCACCATAGGTTTTGGGAATGTGTTGGTCTGGCAGTGGGCCATAGGAACCATGTTAGGCTCTGATAGGGTGGCCTTCCTCCTGGGCTACCAGGTGCTACCTCACCAAGTAGAATTAAACCTTGCCCTCTCCTTCTCTGCTAGCATTCTCCTCAGTGCTATGTATTCCAGCTACTGGGGGATTATATGAGCACTGGCTTACCGAGGTAACCAGACATCCGGACTTAGTCTGCACTATGGTACTGGCTGAGAGAGTCTGTTGCTCTACCCAGGGGGCATAGAGTTATTTTGTGGGGGGTTTTGGTGGCAAATGTTAAATGCCAAGCTGCTCTTTAGCACTTAGTGTTGTAGGGCTTTATACACCTCGCAAACCCACACACATAATATATAGTCCAATGTATCAAAATATAGTTTTTTGTTCATTTAAGTGGCTTGTTTACTTTGATGCCGATCAGTCGTGTTTTAATAAATGCAAGCTAGTAATCTGAATGTCATCTTGCAATATTCTTTTTAGAGATACATTTTCCTGACTTGTTTGAGAGAATAGTGTTTCCTCATTGTTTGTCTTAAAATCCAGGACAGGACACACAGGGGAACTAAAATACCCAACTTATTGCGTTATCAACCAATAGTAAGTCTTGAATAAGATCTAAATGATTTTACCTCAAATATTAAAGACTTTTTATTATTATAATTTAAAGCAATTCCTTCATATTCTCTCTCATGAATTCCTTTAACCTAGAAACAGTTTAAAATCCACAGGAACATTGATTGAAACCTCTCACCTTTCCACCTGCTGCTGTTTGTGTTTTTGTGCAGTTTCACAGATGTTTTCGGGCCTTCTTCTCTTGCTCCGCTCCAGAGCGAGGCTCCACCTTAAAGACTTTTTCTCGGCCGACAAAGACATTCCGCACTGTCCGCCAGGAGAGGGATTTCCAGGTGAGCGCCCCCGCCCCTTCGACAGCTGCGCCAACACCCAACTCTGTGCACGAGGCCTCGCAGGGAGCCAATCACGTGGCGCCGTCATCAGTGAACAGTGGCTGCGTTGCTGCAGACGGTCCTGCTGCAGAGACCGCTGCAGAGCCTGAACCTAAACTGATTCTGGTGGCTCACTACAGGGAATAAAGAGAAAAGCAACATGAGGCGAACACTGGCAGAGAAGATACAGAATAAAGGGAGCAGGTCTCCAAAATATGACAAAACATCTTCATTAGAAAAATTGACTGAAATGCAAAACAGGCTGAGGCCGTTTAATCCCAGAGAAACACCCTGCATTCTGAAAACAAGAGCTCTCTAAAGCTTTGTGTACAAAGCAGGCTGAAGATATGAAGATCAGGGCTACACGCAGTGCTTTGTGTTTACATTACACACCTTTCCCATCAGGATTTACCAGCTGAATCCCATTCAAAAGAGCACAACCATGACATTACATACCCCTGCCCGACGTTTAGGATAAAGGAGACCGGAGGGATTCACATTTATCTGTTTGGGTTCTAGTTTAGACAGATGTTTATTTTTGTTCACTTTGTGGGAAAAGATTAGGAATCCAAACACAATGGAGTTTAACAGCTGGTTGGAGAATGTCAAAAAAGTTTATGTGCATTTGATTAACAGAGGATAACTTGCTTTTAGTGTCTTTAAATATGTGATCTCTTGTATTTTTTTTTACTGAATATTGTGCCTAGATTAAGCTTGCAAAAGTGTCCATGTTGCATTAGTGTTTTACATTTGCGATTTTGCCACAAACCTCTATATCATTTTGGGGGATTTCATATTTTAGACCAACACGATGTTGTGTATAATTTATATATTTTTTTTCTTTTAAAGAAATATTACCTCTTAAAGATGGGATGTGCACTTCTGTTGAGTGTCCTTCACTTTCAGATCTTAAGGTAGCATCCAGTGTAATTCAGTTTCAGTAAAAAACATATGTGGTGAAGTTTAAAGCAGATATTGGTTATTAAACAGTTTCCCTGTTTAAACAGTTTCCTGGTTTGATCAATCATCCAGAAACAGAAATGGTTTAACACAAGCACAGACTTATCAAAACATGGGCATCCACATCAACCTACAATACTAAATAGAGAAGCGGTAAAGAGGGCCATAGTAACTGTGGAGGTGTTGCAGAAATAAGCAGCTCTTGTGTTAGAATCTGCAATGAACGCAGGAGAGTAATGCACTTTATGAAAGGAATTTATGAAGGAAAGGTTATTTTAAAGGAAATTTTGCTTAAAAGGGACACAGCATAATGTAGAAGGTGCTGAGGTCGAAAAGCAATTTATGTTTTATCGCTTACACTGCACAGGTCCCCTGAATGCGTCATTTCCAACACAATGTTGTGATCGAGATATCAAGTTGTGGGGATCCTTATTTTCAGAGAGGGAGGCTTATCAGTTTTTTGTGGCCAGAAGGATGAAGCTAAAATACAGAAATTCCCAAAAGAAAACCTGTAAAATACCTGACAATGGAGGAGAGTCCTTAAAAAAGACTTTGAAACTGATTCTCACACAATCTTTTCAATAACGCTCGATAGGTTTAAGCTATCTTTTAAAGGGGAACGCTGTTTTTTTTTCATTGGGCCCTTGATTGTACGTTATTACATCATGTTTTTCTCACCCATATAAGTTTAGTGTCATTTGGAGCCGTTCTGAAGATATTCTGTCAGGTTATATCCAAGTAACGTCTTCCTATGGGCAAACGACTTGAAGGCACAAACTAAACTGTTAATAATTTATTCTTTATGGTACGCCAGCATTTATATCATGTAGGGAATCACTGTCCCCCAGACGTCCACGGTTATATTTTTTATGTTTCTATTTTTTTAAAACAAAGCGGCGTGTGTATGACGTCATCCACGCGTGCCGGCTACCATTCATTCATCCTGTCTGCTGAACTGCTGCTAGTCTTACTCACATGCCTGGAAGATGTCTAGTGCTACTACCACAGATGATCTCTCTCTCGAAATGGAATTGAACGATTCAGATTAGCTAGCCGAATGAATAGAAAGGGCAGAGCGTAGCTGCCTGGTGTAATTAATGTACATTCATTAAATAAAGTTTAAAAAAAAACAAAAAAACTTTATTTTAAAAAACTTTTTTTATGAATGCTGGTATACCATAAAGAACAAATTATGAACAGTTTAGTTTGTGCCTTCAACTCGTTGCCCATACGAAGACGTTACTTGATATAACCTAACCGTATATCTTCGGCTCCAAATGACACAAAACTTATACAGGTGAGTAAAATCAAGGGCCAAATGTAAAAAAAACGAAATTTCCCTTTAAAGAAAAGTGGGTTCAAATCAAGTATCTTCATGTAGAGAGACCCAAAATGACATACAGTTAAGGTTACAACACCAGGTGCTTTTGCAAAACACCAACTAAGAATGTAAGAACGCATACAGCACAAAAGAAGTATTGAACACGCCACCATTTTTCTCAGTAAATATATTTCTACAGGTGCTACCAACGTGTCTTTTTTTTTTGGGGGGGTTTTGTTGTTTTTTTTACCAGATATCTATAACAATCCATACACTCCAGACATACAAAGATATCCAACCACAGGTAACCAGAAATTAAGTTATGTCTAACAATGTGAAATGGCACAGAGAAAGAGAAATAGCATTGAACATACTTGCTGAAATGTATTTAATACTTTGTACAAGAGTTTTTGTTGGCAATGAAAACTTAAAGATGCTCAACTTAAAGATTTTGACCCATTCTTCTAATCTTGAAGGTTTTGCAGGCCTCTTCTATGAACTCTGATCTTTAGTTCTTTTCCATAGATTTTCTACTGGATTGAAGTCAGGGCTTAGCAGGGTCATCCTAGCAGCTTTATTTTCTTTTTTCTGAAACCAATTGAGTTTCCTTGGTGGTGTGCTTGGGGTGATTGTCTTGCAAAAATGTCCACCCACTGTTCATCTTAAAAATACTGATGTATGGCAGCAGATTTTTATGAAGAATGTCTGTTTACATTTTTCCATTCATCCCTCCTTCAAGTATTGGAAGTTTCCCAGTACCATCCATCCATTTTCAGTCATGCTTATCCCTTCTGGGGTCGCAAGTGGTGCTGGTGCCTATCTCCATCTGTCAATGGGCGAGAGGTGGGGTACACCCTGCAGGTCGCCAGTCTATCACATGGCAACACAGAGACAAACAGAACAAACAACAATTCAAGCACACACACACACACACACACACAGAGAGAATTTTAGAGAGGCCAATGAACCAAACAGTCATGTTTTTGGATTGTGGGAGGAAGTCAGAGTACCTGGAGAGAATCCACACATGCACAGAGAGAACATGCAAACACCATGCAGAAAGACCCCGGGCCGAGAATCGAACCAGGAACCTTCTTGCTGCAAGGCAGCAGCACTACCCACTGTGCAGACCAGGTTTGCCACTACTGTATGCTGAAAAACAGTCCCATGCTCTGATGTTCCCACCTCCTAACTTCACTGTTACTATGGTGTTCTTGGGGTGATGTGTAGTGCCATCTGACCTCCAAACATGATGTGTATTATGGCATCCAAATAGTTCAATTTTGGACTCCTGACCAGAATATATTGTAAAATAATTTCACAGGCTTGTCTAAACGTAAAATTAAATTACCTTCAATATGCTTTTTCTTCAGTAATGAAGTCTTGCGTGGTGAGCAGGCATACAGGCCATGGCAGCTGAGTGCATTACTGATTATCTTTGAAGCAATTGTACCTGCTAATTCCAGGTATTTTTGAAGCTCTCCACAAGGGGTCTTTGGCCCTTGGAAAACTCTTATGATAATTATTTTTCTCTCCTCTTTCAGAAATTTGAAAGGAGCACCTGGTCCTGGTCTGATTATAGTGAAATTTTGTTTGTTCTACTGCCAGATTATGGCCCCAGCTATGCTCACTGGAACACTCAGAGGAGAAGAAATCCTTCTGTAACCGATGCAATCATTTTAATTTGCAACATTAGGGTTGTGAAGGTCTTGAGAACACTCTTTACTTTTACCCATCACGAGATGTTTCTTTTGTGATACCAGAGACAACTTTTTATAGGCCATCATTTGTGACTGAACCAGCTGAAATTAATTTGCACTGACAAGGGGCAGGATTGCTTTCTATTTACTGAGAGATTTCGGCTGGTGCACCTTTTGCACCTCCCTTTCTTTACATGTGCAATACTTTTTCTCTGTGCCATTCCACATTATTACACACTACTTAATTTCGGGACATATAAGTTTTGATTTCTTTGCATGTGTGAATTATTTGGATTGTCGCTGAAATCTGGTAAAATGGTCATGTCAATAGCACCTCTAGAAATATATTTACTGAGAAAAATGGTGGCGTGTTCAACGCTTATTCATTTTTTTTAAAAGCAGAACATTGTAAAATAAAAAACTTCAGTAGCTTTCTGACTGTTCCACTAATTGAACATGTATTTTTTATTACTAAAAAAAACTTTCAATTAATTTGCACAGTGTGTTGTTCTGGGCAGGAGAGCAGCCAAATTACTGCAATAAATTACTGAAAAAGGATTCAGCTTATCCACCGAGTGTGTTTAGCCTATTTTATTGATTTATTATGTCATAAACCTGATGCAGGATCATTCTTTCACAGTTCCCAATTGCTTTATGTTATTTTATGTTTTTGACACTTAATGGTTCTGGCGCTGAAAGGGCACTGCCTCTAGATTCTCCCTAACTTGTTCTATGAAAGCAGGGTCTTGCTTCTCATGTTGAATTTCTATAGAGGGACACAGTTAGGCAAACAGAAAGATTTTTTAATCGTCCTTGCAAACACTTGGCTTTTTATCTAGCCAAAATTTTATTTGTATTGAAAACTTATTTTATGATGTCAGCTGGTTTCGGATTCGTTTCTATAAGCAGAGCTGCCAACAAGAGTTACATACACCATTCCAAGCTAAATTTATATACATTTGGGAGTGTTGAGCATTACAACTCCAATTCACATCTATAAATACAGTAACAAACAATGATTCTGGACCCAGATATATGAGGTGCATAGACCTACATTCAGACCATTTCCAAATGATGAACCTCTGTTAATCCAATCCTAATATAACTACAGAAGCCCAGCATTACTAATTAAGATATTTTTACAAAACAGATTTTTTTATATATAGTTGATGAATAAGTGAACACTCTTTGTAAGGATCCTTTGTAATATCCAGTGACCTCTGATCAGTATTTATAAAAAACAGATCTAAACAAATGACATAAATTGATTGGACTTTTTGGTCCCAGCAAAACTATGCCTGATCTGTTTTTGAAACATATTTCTATTAACAGCTTACCTTTATTTATAAGCACTTCTTTAAATAACACTGTTCTGAAGGACCCCTTATATTGCCAACCACCCAGCCTTTCAGCTCCTTATGAAAAGAGCCAAAATCTTGCCTGAAACAATGTTTTAGAAAGCAGAGGATGAGTGTAACAACCTCCCTGTATCTAAGAATAAAGAATCAAGCTACATTTATAAATCAAGCAGATAACTGTTCATTTGGATATAGTTCTATGTTGTTTATGAGCCAACTGTTACTTTTTGTTGACATAAAAACAAGCAATGGAGATTCAAAAAAAATTTAGAATTTAGCGCAAATCTGAATGAAAGAGCACATCTTTCTTACTCCATTTTAATTTAAACATTATTTCATACAAAATGCTGCCTTTGTGAAAAACCATTATTATGTGCTGATCAGTATTTATAGACATTAGATGATGTGAGCATCTCCTTTCCAGCATGATTTATAAACACCAACAGGTGATGTAAAAACTGTTATTTACATTATACTTTAGTTAATTAAATTCAACACAGTTATGGTAAACACAGCTTCATAGGTTGTCTCCCATTTATCGTGTCAAGGATGATTTTGATGAGCAATAATTTTAGAGCTTATCTGACATTTGAGCCCTTATTATACTATGGATAATTTTCATATCTGGATGTGTTTCTCCATTCTGTTTTATGGAATCTAAATAACTTTTATTGCTTATAAGTTCTTTTTACTCTGTGCTGGTCTCTGACTGGTATTTATAAATTGGACTGAAAACAGGCCTATACAGGAGTTTAAATAAAAGGAGAATGTATTTTAAATCCTGACATTGTTTATAAATAAGTCAGAGGCTGCTTTTATAAGTCTTGTAATAGTGACATAACCACAGCTTTGCGTTGTGTACTGACCTAGATTTACTATGTAGCGGACCCTTCTTAAACTATCAGAGAAAAAAATCAGTAAAACAGAACAAAACAAATACAAAAAAACACTTTTGAGATTTTTCTTTTATGTGTCCAAAGTATTTAACACTCTTTTATAAAACAAACAGTGGGGAAATGTGTGACAATAAACTCAGGTTAATCAAATTCGAATCCACATTTGTTGCGCCGGCAAGAATATTTTTTTATGCTAATAA